AAACGTCGTCCGTGGGAGTTGCTGGGTCCGGATGGAACAAAGAAAGGTCGGCAATGGGTCGATCGTACGCAGCCTGCGCTTCTTTTGGGTCCATGCGATGACCTACCTGGTGGTTATTGGGTGGAAGCTCAAGGGACTGCAAAAGATCCGGATGAACTGGTGTTATTTCCCTGCACTACGATTTTTTCCAATATAAAGGAACCGCCTGAATTGGAGCTGGAAGGGGTGGTAGAAGAACAGGAGCCTTCTCCTCCAGAGCATCGTCTCAAGGGGAAAAAACCGGCGCTTCGGTTTGCTGATGAGGAAGGACCTCCTTTACCTCCGCCTCGCGATCCTCCAGTTCGCCATCGGTTGATGGAGAAAAGCCCGGCCTCTTCACTGCGTGGTCATGTGGGCTCCTTGCGCTTGCTTCGCAAGCGGGGGGAGAGTCCGCCCTTAGAAATTTTCGAGGATGACATGCAGGGTCTGGGGGAGCTGGAAGAAAATGCAGATGTTGAGGACAATGTTCCTGGTGATGAGTATTGGCCGACTTGCTGTTCTCCTCATGAAAATGCTTATTTGGTCTGCAAAAGTGAGACTGCTGGGGATGGAACACAGTTGGAAAAAGAAGAGCAAAAAGCCAAGTCAATGTATGAAAGGTCTATGTATGATTACGTGGACTGCGAGGAGCTTTTGGAAGGGATTGTATACCCAAAGAGGGTGAATCGAAGAGGTGGTATCAACAATTGGTGCGCAAGTACGCGAGCTCTGGTGTTGGGCCACTATACTCATGGCGGAGTGTGTGGTATCACAAAAGAGACTCATCGAAGACCATGGCTATGTCGTTATTTGGCATCATTCGTGAGGCACCACAATCCTGAAGCCAAATTTTCTGCTCTTCAGATCTCATGCAATGCTCCGGTGTCATTGCATAGGGATAGTCACAATGAAAAGCATTGCTGCAATTATGTGTGTGGCTTTGGTGACTATAAAGATGGTCAGCTGTGGGTTGAGGATGAAAAGGTCTTAGAGGAAGGAGCTGAAGTGGTGGAGCAATCCTATGGGAAGAAAGTCTTACCTGGAAAATTGGTGGATATCCACTGGAACTTCATGTCGTTCTTTCCGAGAAAGCTGCATGGTCCTATGCCTTGGAAAGGGAACAGGGTATCCTTGACAGGGTACACACCTGTTTTTATGGAGCGTTTGAGCTACAAGGATAGGTGCTATCTTCTCCAATGCAAGTTTCCTCTTCCGGAACCACAGGCTGTAGAAGGTGAAAAAGGAAGTGGTTAAAAATGACGTTGAAAGAGACCTCGCTGGACGACCTTGCAGAGGAAGTCGACTACGCTGTGTTCGAAGCGCATCAATGGGCTCTAGAGGAGCATTTGAGTATTCGACGCCTAATTGCTGAACAGGAATGTTGCATTTTGGACGAGTTCCATGGATCGGCCAATGAGTCGAGTGAAGAAAAAGGATCAGAGACTAGAGAATGGCTGGTTAAAGCAAAAAGGGCTGAGGAACAGCTATCGAAGTTTTTGGTCAAAGCAGCTCAAGTTCAGCAAATGGTACAAGAAAATACCGCGCTTGAGGCAGCGGAGGAGGTTGAGTTCCTGCAAACAAAAACAATCCCTACACAAGAAGCCATGCAAGAACTGGAAAAGTGGAGGGAATCATTGTCAGACGAGGTGACGTCTTTGGTGAAAGAGTTGGAGGTGGTGGAACCAACAACTCAAGAAAAGCTGGACAAATTGGCGGAAGAGCCTAATGCACCGGTGATTGAGTACGTTCCCAGTCTGGTGGTGTTTACCCGGAAGCAAGGGACAGGGAGGCGACGTGCCCGTATCTGTGCATGTGGAAACTTCATTTCGTCAACGGCAGCTACAGAATATGAAGGGCCGAGGTCACTCAGTCGTCACTCGCTGTACGCTCCAGGCTTAGATTCAACTACATTCAGGTGTCAAGTGAGGCACGCAGCATATATGGTATGGATCATCGCTGGCTTAGACATTTCCAAAGCTTTTCTGACGGCGCCGATGAATAGGGCGCAAAGAGAAGGGCGTTTGGTGGTGGTGCAGCCCCCAAGGGCGGCGGTGAAATTGGGTCTTTGCACAAAGGAGGAGCGGTGGATTGTGAGAAAGGCCTTGTACGGTTTGGCCGAAAGTCCTGCAGCATGGGTGGAGTGGCGAGACCAACGTCTTCAAGGTATGTCTTGGGTGTCAAAGGATGGACAAGCAATGAGCTTTCAGAGGTCCAATGCAGACCCAAGTCTGTTCCTTATTATGGCACAAGAAAAGCCGGAAGGTGCAAGCAAGTTGGTAGGGACAATGGGTCTTTACGTGGATGATTTTTTGATGGCTGGGACTATGACAGTGCTCCGGGAGGCCTTGGAACAGATTAGGAAGGAGTGGAAAACTTCTGAACCCGAGTTCTGTGGTCCAGGCTGCGGTGATGGATTCCTGAAGTTTTTGGGTGTCCAAATCTGGTATCGAAATGGCAGCTTCTTTCTCAACCAGGAGGACTTTGTGAGAGATTTGCTGAACCGACGAGGGTATCAGATCGATGAAACTGGAAAAGGGAGTAACCTGCCAATGGTGAAAGAAACTCCAGGTGAAGAAGAGGAGGTGGATATTCCTTCCTTGCGAGCGGCTCAAGGTGCCGTAGGGGAGTTCCTCTGGGTGGCAATCAAAACTCGACCTGATTTGGCGTTCTGCACGAGCCAGTTGTCTTTGTGGACATCCCGAAGGCCACGATTTGTGGTTAAAAAGGCTGAGGAAGTTTTCCGATACCTTGCTGCAACTCCAACGTTAGGCTTGACGTTCGGAGCAATCGCAACATGCGAAAAAGAAAGGAATGAGGTGTTGCGTTATGGACGAGGTGTTAAGGTGGTGGAGTCCTACGCGGATGCCAGCTTTGCAGCAGGTGAAAATGAAAAGAGCCACTCAGGAGCGGTGGTGGTGTGGGGTGACTGTCCAGTGATGTGGGCAACACAAAGACAATCAACGGTGGCTTTAAGTACAGCTGAAGCTGAATTACATGCGTCCATAGAGGGAGCAACGATGATTCAGTCGTGCACCCCTATAATTGCCGCTTTGGTTGGAACAGGTGAAGAATCGCTGCAAAAAGTGCTGTATACAGATTCGGTTTCAACGTGCTCGATCATTCAATATCCTGCTGGAAGCTGGAGAACAAGACACCTGAGAATTCGAGCAGCCGGTGTCAGGTCTCTGGTGGACCGTGGTTATATGGTGATAGCGCACCTTCGCGGTGAGTATATGATCGCTGACCTGTTGACTAAGTTAATGAGTGGACAGGTGTACGCAAAGCAAAAGGCACTTTGGGGTCTCAGACTGTTGGTTCAAGGAACTGACTTGAAAAAAGCCTCGCTTGCAATGGCGGTCATGATGGTGGCTGCATCTCTGCAAGGGATGGCAACTGGTGGCGAAGAAGTGTCCACGGCTGGATTCTTTTGCTCAGAAGAAGGGGTGTGCAAGGTCGCCAACACGTCTACGGTGATGGTTCTGGCTCAAGGTATTGAAATGGTTGTCAACAATTCAGACCTTGTTGCGTATTTGGTGGCAGCAATTATACTCTGGGAACTGGCATGGTGCCTCTTTCGACGGCTGTATAAATGGCTGTGGATCAAGAAAGCGGTGGTTATTCCTGCGAGTGCCACTTTGTATACAACAGTGGGTGGGAACTGTATGCACGCAAGCAGTGACTGTGATGTTCTGCGATATTCACAGCCCAGGGCTAAGGCGCTTTGTAAGCATTGCCTCAAGGATGGCTGGGTGGTGAATGCTGAGTTCCTTGGTGAGGAACGGGCCGCTGGAACGTGAATTTTCCAAGTACGAGGTGAAGAAATCCTCAATGGTTAAGGATTCAGCCAATGAGCTGAAGGTTCGTCCTGGATGACGTTAAACCATAATGTGCATTTCAAGCAGCTGGCTGCTGCCTAAATGGCGGTTTTTGGCCAAAGAACGGCATCTCCAATGTGTCCTAGGAAATCCTAGGACAGGGGGAGTGCGGAGCTGCAACTGGTATTGTAGAAAAGAGTTGGTGATGGGAGTTGAAGGGGTCAATGAACCCGGATATTTTTGGCTCAAGAAACGTGGGCAATGCGCCCTACGGAAAAGGTGTGTTTGGTTGTGCTTTGGGTTTTGTCTTCGGTTGTTCCAGGGGAATCAAGGGCTTCTGTTGGGGCTGACTGTTTTGTTCCCTGTCCTCCTTCGGTTGCCCCCCGTACCCTAAACCCTAAACCCCCCAGGCAAGCCCCTGTCATCTTCCACTCCTCGATCATGTAAGCCTTCGGTATGCGCAAGGGCTAAGTGCTCTGCCCCAGTATTCACAGCTCGCCAAACTGTAAATTTGTGTGATGCTGTGCTTTGTGCGATCTTGATCTCTGCTGCCGAACATGCACCCAATCCGCTATGTCTGCGTACAACAAGGTGCTGCGCAGCACACGCAGGGACACTTCGTGGCTTGAACAGGTTTTGGTCGACTTGCGATCCTGCGCCTTGGAGTATTTGATGGAACACAACCACAACAACAAAACTCAGTCCCGACCGTGTTGTTCATCCCGGTTGTTACTTTTTGTTGATTCTGATTATCATTGGTTTTGGAATGTGCATCCAGAGCAAGAGCAGCAAACGTGGAATTCAGTATGCCCAGACAGTCGCCTTCAATGCTGAGATGCGAGGACAATCCCTAAGCTCCCGACATGATTGCGGTTTTCCCTTTAGTCCAAGGTAGGCGTCCCTGAAACCAACACGCTCCCAGTCTCTCCTCCCGTAAGCCGGACCAAGTGCAAGCCAAGTGCAGATGCTGGTCTGCAGCTTCTCCTGCGCCTGCCGCCGCACTTCGCAAACCCTGGTTCGAGATGTCGCCTCGGAGAACAGAACCGCTGTGCGGATGGAAAAAGATGTTCTCCACCGAAGGGTACAAAGACGTACGAAGCATGGGGGGACCTACCTTCTGTATGGTTGCGGTGGCCTTCATGTAAGTTCAGGGAGCTCACAGGCCTTCTACAATGCTTGCGCGATGACCTTCACGGCTTCGTCATTTACACACAGACCAAGCCCACGGAAAGGCCTCGACCACAGCTGCAGACCCCCCCATCGTGGGCACGTTCAAACGCATGGATTTCCTGAGTCAATAGGCAGGATCACACACACTCTTGCAAAAGAACCGAAACCATGATGCGCACGCATCAAGATATAAACAGCCGATCTAAAATCGAAAACAGCGAGACACTGGGCTTTCGAATTCTGTGATGAGTCAAACTGAGTCAAGCGGCTGGGCAGCAGCATCTGTATTTGAAGACGTCCACGGCAGTGAAAGGCGCACCATGCTTCGCAAGTCCAAGGGTGACGCTACCTGCCTTTCCTTCCACTCTCCAGCCACAGGTAACGTCGGCAATCGGCCCACAAGTACTGTTTTTGCACAAGCGCCTGACATGCTTCATCGGTCCCCAGGTGCCGCTTTTGCATGCTTTTGCACAGGCGCCTGACATGCTGCAAAATGCGCTCAACTTGCTGCAATCGGCCCCTTTTCTCAAATCACGCGTGAAGAGAATGAGGTTTCTGGCGGTCTGTGGTTTATGGTCTCTGGTCTTGCTGTGAGCATTCCCTGGCCCGTGTGGCGCACAGGAGTCACAGGTCAAGAAAGGCGACGTTGCGCCTTTCACGTGATATTGAACCAGGCTTCTGCCTAAAAAGCACCAAGCCCGGCTTCGAGTCCAGCGGATGTAAGGGCAACGGACGAGGCCCGGTCACCGTTCGGACCGTTCGGACCGTTCGGACCGTTCTTACAAACGCAGAGAAGTATTTACAGTGTCACGTGGTTGAGGCTTTGCCAGCAACCTGATGACTACGAAACTTTTCTCAAACATCCCCTGATAAGGAGAGCACAAGCTCTGCAATTTTGGTGCAGAACGCACATGGCACTTGCCAGGTTGTCTCCACTGAAGCCTTCAGGACCAGGTTTGCCAAAAGTTCTCTTCAGGAGAGCCTAGCGGACGTGACTGTTTCAAACACCACACAAAGATTTAAAGTCGAACTACCAGCCTTCGGCTGATGGAACCGGACCTCATGAAGATGTAAGGTCTACAAGCACACTCTCTGACGCGCGTCCGTGCGCATGTCCTTGGGCAGGTCCTTGTGCGTAGGCCGTGCTGGGCTTCCTTGGCTAAGCTCCCCGCGAGCGGGGCTTGCATCACTGGATCGACTGCTGACGCTGCCCGCTCTTGGGCTGTGGAAGCTCGCAGTGCTGCAACTTGCCGGGCTGGCGCACGAGCAGGTGTCGCAGGTGTCGCAGGTGTCGCAGGAGTCGCCCTTACACGCCTCAGCCGGGCTCAGGGATGTCACCGCTCCAGTCTCCCGGATGAGGGCATAGGCGGCAGGCTCGGCCGCCGTGGCCTCCTTGGCACCGGCCATGACGCGCCCGGTGCCACCGAAGTCAGGCGCGCCCCACGTAACAATGGCACCATCAAAGCGAAGAGCCGCGAATGCCAGCTTGGAGGCTGCTAGCTGCCTGATGCCAACCAGCTCCTGCTGTACCGCCTGGCTGTCGCCGCCACAGTCGCGGTCGCCCCACGTCACCACGCTCCCATCGCCCAAAAGAGCTGCAAAGGCTCGATCCGATGCCACGAGACACTCCACGCTCTCGAGACGCTCCGGCGTGGCGATGCCATCCTTGCTCATCGAGCCCCAGGTCACGACGGAGCCGTCAGCGCGGAGGGCGGCAAACGCGCAGCGGGCGGCGACGACCGCCTTGACTTCCGTTAAGCGGCCCGCGACGTCCTCTGGAGAAAGCGGAGCAAGCATCTCAAAAAGATTTTACACACAGGTGAACCTACAGAAGATGCATGTAAAGAGAGAGCTAGGGACGGAGAAAGACAGACAGAGAGAGAGAGAGAGAACGAGAGAGGGAGAGAGTGAGTCCTGGCAGTCTCCTCCAAACTCTGAAGATCCCCAGGAGACGACCGTTCCATCGTGGCGCAGGGCAGCAAAGGCCGCGGCTGAAGCAACCAGCTGCTGGACTCCCACAAGCTCGTGGCTGTTCCTGGGGCTTCATTGCTAGCTAGATGCTCAACGATCCCCACAATCCGAGGACTCCGAGAAATTCCGACAGCATCCCTTTCCACCGCCCAAGCCCAAGCCCAAGCCCAAGCCCAAGCCGACCCCAACAACGCTGAACGCTCGACGACAGCATTCCCACAATAAAAACTCCGCTCAAAGCTTCTCGCAAACTCCGCCGGCGTCGGCCTGGCCTTGGCTTAGCAACGTGTTCAAGAGTGAGTTGGAGAGATGGTTCGGGCTTCGACGTGGAAGCCTCCACGAGCGGGCACTAGTGTTTGAGCGGCTCGAGCTTTGCTGCGCAGCGGCGTCAAAAATTGTATGGGATTGTGCGGATCTGTGCGGGGTGACTTCTGCACCCCACAAATCTGCTTGCACAATCCGAAGTCCTGAACCCGAAGAGCCCGCTTGCGGAGACAAGGGGCCCCAGGCAATGACTTTGCCGTCGGATCGAAGCGCCGCAAAGGAATACTGCGTGGCGATCAGCTGCTGCACCTCCTGGCCAGATGCTTGAGGTTTGGCAGCAGGCTTGCGTCCAAACAGTGCAGATTCAACTCGACTCGCAGAAACGCGCATTCACCTAGGAAGTGAGCCGGGATATGCCATGACAGTTGCACTGGCTACGACGCTTGTGCCGCAACATCCTCTGCTCAGTCCTTCAGATCCGCCTGCACCCTGGAACTGTCTCCACCACGCTGGGCCTCGGGAATCCAAAAAACAGCTCGCGTGTCCCAGGCTTCAGGTTACCCCGAAGCGGTTACTCCCAGGACTTCCACACAATTCTGGACACACCCTTCAAAGTGCAAGCTGGAGCTAAGGAAACAAAAAAGCTGCGGCAAACTGTGGCGAACTGCTGGCAGCTGGCATCCCCCCAGCTGACGACCGTCCCGTCCGTCCGCAGCGCGGCGAAGGCTGAGCCAGAAGCGCAAAGCCTTGCAACCGCCATGGCAAAATGAGGCAAAGAAGGACCCTCATCCAATCTCTTAAAGGGCAAGTTGCTGCTTCACGTTGACGAGCTTCTCCGCCAGCTTTTTGCTGTCACCACCCATCAGAGCAAGACCCCAGGTCACCACCTGCGTGATATGCAAAGCTTGGAAACACTTAAGATGTGCTTGCGGCCTCAGCCGGGAAATCTGGAAGCATGGCATAGACTGCTTGGGTGTGTGAGCACATCATGCGCATCTCATCTTTTGTGCATGATGCTGGGCCCCAACTACTGCGACCATTACGACTGAAGTGACAACAGCTGTGTTACATGTTGAAGGCGCATGCTTGTTCGCAGCTGTGTAGCTGAGACTGGAAGCTCTTTTGAGGGGAGGTCGCTTATCCCGGAACCTCTATTCCGCACTGCAGAACGGCTGTGAATAGGGCATCTAGGGCATGCAAGCGAATTGTTTGTGGGAAGGACTCCCGGACTCTTCCGGACTCCCGCCTTGCCATCAGCGCGCAGCGCAGCAAATGCGCCGTTGGATGCGGCCATGTCCACGACGTCCAGGAGTTTGGCATGGACTGCGGAGCTGTCGCCGCCCCATCCGGCCACGCCCCACGTCGCCACTTGTCCGTTGTCCTTGCTTGCAATCTCTCGACCTAATAAAGCACAGAGAGAGAGAGAGAGGGAGAGAGAGACAAACGCATGCAAGAAATATATTTGTGCACATGTGTGTGTATAGGCAAAGATATGTATATACATAAACTTATCTATACATACACAACACTGACTGAACACAAAGACACACGCACATGCATGCATTTCAATGCATGTGGCACCAACCCGTTATCTTCTCAGTGGAACCCAGCTCTGAGAGGGGAGGGAGCCAATGGTCCAGAGGATCCCATGAGCGCCAGAACTTTCCAGGAGTTCTTCCCCAGCCGAAAGCAGAGGCGAAACCAAACAACGACAAGAACAACTGCCGGGATTCAGAAGCTGTGCTGTCCCTGAAATGACTTTCCCGTTCAAAGTCTAAAGTTTCAATGGGCCTCTTAGTACTCTAGAGGCGCCAAGGCAGTTTGTAAAGTCATAGAACTTTGAACTACGAACCAAAACTTTAAAAAGCAGGTCAAGTTTGAGGGCTGCTTTCTAGCTTCCACTTCAAAGGAGTCGAGCTCTGAGGGCCGAATCGCTCCTGCCTGCAACAGGATTCCATCAAGACAACGCAAGGAGTTGGGAGGCTCCCCCCTTGTAGTAACAGTCCTGAATGGGGATTCTGATAAGGGGGTAGTATACCTGTTTAAGGACTGGTAGTATAAGAAGGGGTAAACATCCCAACGAAGGAGGTTCAAACTCCCAAGGCCGACGCAAGATTGCAAGGGCTCTCTTTTTTTTGGCACGTTGCGAATGGGTCTTGCAAAGAAGTGGGGGGGGGGGGGGGGGGGGGGTGGGGCATTTTTGGGACTCCATTCTCAGAACTGGCTTCTGAAGCTTGGCATGATGTGGACTCATTTTTTCCATGTAGAAGAAGGTTCAGAACCTGTCGAGTTCTTCATGCCGAGATGCGCGCCCACAGGTTTCGGATAACTTTTACTACGCCCTTTAACAGTCCTTCGACCATTGTGCTCAACTCTATTGCTATATATATATATACGATACTTTGTCTTCACATGTGTTTAGCTAACAAATAGCTCTTGCATACTCAAACCTTCAACGGCATAGTCTGCACTAAACTGAGCGTACAACTCCCTGGTTCCATAAGCCTTGCCAACTCATTGACAATCTGGAGTTTGGAAATGAAGGACAGCTACTGGGGCACGTATCCTTTACATCAAGGCTCTTTTGAATTCCTCTTCCTCTCATAGCAAACCGTTCTCCGAAGCCCATCACATACGCCTCTGTATATACATTCATGACATATGCCTCTATACATTCCGAACTATTTGGATATGCTCACATACAGCCTGTGACTTTGCACCAAGGCCCCGTGAAAGGTCTACCATGCAAAACAAGAGTCTTATCCACGCCTGTCCTTCCAGACGCTCTTGACGCAAAATAGTGTTTCTAGGCGTATATGATCTCCAATATCTGCATTCTCCCAGATATAGAAATGAAATCTGCATCAAAAGTGCCCTCATACACCTGACGCTTTGATCGTGATTCCTAGCCAGCTGTTGAGATGAAGACCCCTTACAAGAATTGTAACTACTGTTGGTTCACGTAAGACTTCCTCTCAAGAAAGTAGATCCAAGAAGAGATATCTGCTTTTCTACAACTACTGATCCACAAAAAGACTTGGTCAATTGAGATATCTTGAATGTGATTACCGCCAGTTGTTGACATAAAGACCCTTACAAGCGCCAGCAGTGCGATTCAGAGAGTGCATCCTCTAACGAACATCAGTTTAAATGCGCTTCAATTCCAGAATACTCTTGGGCTCGCCTTCGATTTCTGTCTTGAGCATCTTGAGTTTCAAGACGGGAAACAGAGATTGAAGATTGAGGAGTCGCAGGCGTCGCAGGAAACTGTTGGGCCACCATTCGACGTCCATCACCCCGTCTTGAAAGTCAAGACGTTCAAGATGGAATTGAAAGGCAACCCTAAACCCTAACCCTAAACCAAGATTCGGCAAGATTGCTCTAAGGCACCTCAATCTTCAATCTTCGGTTGTCTGTCTTGAAACTCAAGACGTTCAAGCTGGACATTGAAGACATAGCCCCAGACGTTGTTCGAAAGTCTTGTCCAGAGCCCTAACATGGCATAACAGATATGGATCCCTCGGAGGGTTATACATAAAAATGTATATATGTATATATGTATATATGTATATATGTATATATGTATATATGTATATATGTATATATGTATATATGTATATATGTATATATGTATATATGTATATATGTATATATGTATATATGTATATATGTATATATGTATATATGTGTATATGTATATGTGCATATATGCATATATGTATATATGTATATATGCATATATGTATATATGTATATGTATATATATATATATATAGATAGACAGATAGATAGATAGATAGTGTGCGCATGTGTGTGTGTGTGTGTGTATGTGTGTGCGTGTGTGTCAGTCTCTCTGCCTGCCTGCCTGTCTGTCTGTATGTCTATGTGTGTGTGCGTGCGGCTATACATGTGTCTCTGTGTGTCTGCCTACGCGTCTGTCTGTCTGTACGTATGTCAATGTGCGTGCGTGCACTCTTATGCTAAGTGTTCTCATCTTTCAACATGTGTGCATGATTGTGCATGCGTTCGGATGCAGTACTTCTCTGCCCCTGTCCTCGATTGCTGCAACAGCGTGGCTGGACACGACGATGTGCTTGATGTTTGGGCTTCGCACCGCGTGGCTGTCACCACCTCGGTGCATCTCACGCTGTTCCACAAGGCAGAGGCCCAACTCACACCCGGCCCACGGAACCTCAACATAAGCAAACTGATCTGCAGGCACTGCCACCCCAGATGCCACGGCCCCAGGTCAGGATCCTCGTCTGCTAGACCCGTCTTGAACGGCTCTAGTGACTCTTCTAGCGCGACTCCAGTGCTTCGGAGCACACTGAGCAAGCGCTGAGGCCAAACCCTCGCACTACCAGAACATGGAAGTAGAAGAGTCGGTGCTGAAACGCAGTGAGACGCCTTGCGACGCAATGCTCCGGTGACTAGATTCGAAGCACGCTGAGCTGAGGCTAAGCCCTCGCACGCCTACCAGAACATAGAAGAGTCGGGACTGACATGAACTGAATCGCACTGAATGCTAATTGAACTGCCGGGCGTCGACCCGTCACTCTTGACACACGCGAAGACTGCAGACTCTCGGCTGGAAACCAGGTGTGCCTGGCGAGCCACCTAAGTCTGGCCGCGTCAACGGCTTGAGGTCCCGGTTCGGAAGTTTCAAAAAAAGAACTAGAGAGTATGGCATAATGGCATAGGATAGCTTTCCAAGGGAAGGCGTGCCGCGCCAGACACTGAGTCGCCATGGCTCAGGCCTGCGTCACCAAGGGTTTGATGACCTTCACGGGGAACACCAAACAAGTAAATGCGGGGCAAGATGGTGCTCTTGGCACTCAAAAGCATGAACTCTCTGGGTGCAGGCGGCATGCTGAAGATGCAACTGCGCTGTAAGCTCACGTTGCAAACAAGCGGCTTTCCAAAACATTTCCGCATGGCCCGACCAAGTGCCCTGGTGAGTGAGACGAAACAAACACTGAAGCCACCTTGAATAAAATCCACCGGGTGCTTCCCAGCATTTTAGGAGAGGTTTGAACAGCACAACCAACAAAAAAAAAACAACAAGGCGTCCCTCCAAATCTCACAGCCCACAAAAGTTGGTGGACGCGCTTCAGGAGACAAAAGGCGCCACCGTGGCAATAACAAGAGCAGCAAGATTGAAATCCAGATGCTCAGACAGCTGCCTTCAATGCTGAGCTGCAAAGACGAAGCTCCAGAAACTTGAAGGGTTTGCGGTGATTGCGGACTTCCCGTAAGCTAGAAACCGGACCAAGTGCAAGCCAAGTGCATATGCTGGTCTGCAGCTTCTCCTGTGCCTGCCGCCGCACTTCGCAAACCCTGGTTCGAGATGTCGCCTCGGAGAACAGAACCGTTGTGCTGCTCCGTGGATGGAAAAAAGATGTTCTCCACCGAAGGGTACAAAGACGTACGAAGCGTCGGGGGATCTACCTTCCGTATCGTTGTGATGGCCTTCATGTAAGTTCAGGGAGCTCACAGGCCTTCTACAATGCTTGCGGGATGACATTCACGGCGTCGTCAAGACCTTACGCACCCACCAAGCCCACGGAAAGGCCTCGACCACAGCTGCAGACCCCCCCATCGTGATCACGTTCAAACGCATGGTTTTCCTGAGTCAAGAGGGCAGGATCCTGGTGAGATCTCTCGTGTTCCTGTAAAGCTGTGTGCGCAAACTTCAAGCGCAAGACTCGAATCCGCTGCATCAAGATTTGCAAAACAGATGCGAGACTCTGGACCCCTTTGCACTGGGTCAGATTAAGTCAAGCGGCTGGTCAGCAGCATCTGCCTTTGAAGACGTCCACGGCAATGAAATGCGCACCATGTTTCGTAACTCCAAGGGTGACGCGACCTGCCTTTCTTTCCACTCTCCAGCCACAAGTAACGGAGGCAATCGGTCTCCAAGTGCTGCTGATTCGGGAGCCTAACCATGTTTCGGCGGAGAGCCCAAGCATTCATTGTGCAGCAAAGTTTAAAAGACCGACGGTACTTCGATCAGAAACAGTCCCCCATGAGACCCCAAAACATGCTGGTCTCAAAATAACGAGCATGATGAAACACTTCTTGCACTCCAAAGGATTCGCCCCTTCACCAAACCGGGTTCGCTGCATCCTATCGTGGCTCCTCACCAAAGCTCTGTGGGCCCCCGGCCCACCGAGGTGAGACTCAAACCTGGTCACCTCTACACACGCGGCTCCTCGAATGGCGAAGCCCGTTCGCATGGTTGTAATTATTGTCGTTAACTGGGACGGGCACGCCAAATTTCTTGCAACCATTCACCGTTTGTGCGAACCGCAGATCCACCCTGCCGAAGTGACATGCGTCTAAATAATAAATCTTGGGCGAGCCGCCACATCTGGGGCGAAACTAGGGACTAGGAACGACATGGTCGAACAGGTTCTCGGCGCTTTCAGGCTTTGCTTCTCTTGGCATCCGGTCCAGAGGCAGTCATGCTTCCCGTCATGCTTCCAGGCGGCAACACAAAGTGAAGCAATGCTTCAACACCCGCTTTCGCCTCTTCCATCGTTCCGCACGGCAGAATCAGCACGTCTTCTGCGCCTCCCCCGTGAGCCTGCACCTGGGCTTCCTGAAGGAAAGTCATGATTCGCTGCCAGCTGCCACCCCCATCTCCTAGTTCTGTTAGCCTGCCGATCAGCACCAGCAAGCTCTTGCATCGGCTCATTGCTACATTGATGAAGTGTGGATCGCAAGCACGCTGTGTGTTTTCCAGGCAACCACTGACGGTATTGATGATCACGACCTCTCGCTCCGAGCCCTGGAACTTGTCCACTGTGTCGATGTTACGCACTGCTGCAGTTTGGTCATCCATGCTAGAATCCATGACGACGTCCGGGCTCAGATTCTCCCACCTCGCCCAGTCCCCCTCTGGAATTCCGGCGAGCATTGTACGCAATCGATTCTTATGGCGATTGTATGGGGACAAGACGCAAATGTCATGCACTGTGTACAAGCTTGGTGCCTGCAGAAGGTGGTCATAAATAAGCTTGGAGATGGTCGCCTCGTCCAAGTTCTCCAGCGATCGCTCAAGTGGTTTGAGATTGGTCTTGCCAAACGACAGGTCGAAGGCAACAATTGCTTTCGCGGAGGTTCCGTGGGACCGCCTGCTCTTCGCCAGAATGTTCGGCCCGTCTGTTAATCTGTTGTTGTAGAACACCCTGCTGACGATGTTGCGCACAGAGGGGGGCATTCGGTGCTGCTCCTCCAGCATGATGAAATCGATGCCGGCATTTCCTGCTCCGACCTTGCCGGCAATCAGCCTCTCCATTGTACTTCTTCCATACCCCCTGTCTCGCACGCCGTCGCTTACGTAGGGCTGCAGCTGCTTATGGTCACCTACCAGAATCACTTTCTTCAGGCTTGTCATCGTCTGCAGCACAATAAACAGCCTCCAGTCCTCGACCTGTCCTGCTTCATCGATGATCAGCGTGTCAAACTTGGCTTTCGAAAAGTCCTCATGCTTCGTAAGTGTGTTGTACAGCGTCGTGAAAACGACTGATTTCCGGCCGCTGCTGACCTCATGGATGGCATTGAATTCTCGGAACCAGCCCGCCTCAAGCACTTTTTTGCAGACTTTCTTCTGGAACCCAACGCGGAGGCACCTGGAAAGCTTCGGAAAACCGAAACAAATTCCAGCATTATGATTGGCATGGATCCTACACCGGCACGTGTGCCCTGCAACATGTTGCGTCACTTGACTCCAAAGGCAGATAGGCAGATGCATAGAGACATACGTAGGCATAAATACGCGTGTATGTTGGTAGCATGTGTATGCACATATATAAAGAAACATATCTATATATATATATACATACATATATATATATATATACATATACATACATTAACAGAGTAGAGTTTTCATGTGCATATATGGTTCCGTGTCCCGTGTCGGTACCCCCCCCCCACCCCCCCCCACCCCCCCCCCCCCCCCCCACCCCCCCCCCCACCCCCCCCCCCACCCCCCCACCCCCCCGCATGGTATATCCCCCCCCCCCCCCCCACACACCTGCCCCACCCTAAACCCTAAACCCTAAACCCTAAACCCTAAACCCCTAAACCCCTAAACCCCTAAACCCAAACCCCAAAACCCTAAACCCTCAACCCTCAACCCAAACCCCAACCACACCACCCCACAGGGGGGCCCAAACCACAGGGGGGCGGGGCGGGGACCCTAAACCCTAGACCCTAAACCCTAAACCCTAAACCCTAACCCTCAACCCAAACCCCAACGACACCACCCCCACAGGGGGGCCATGGGGGGGGGTACCATGGGGGTGGGGGGGGGTGGGGGGGGCAGCGATGCTGCACCATATATGCAAGCCCACAATAAGAAATGTGCAAATATTATAATGCATGCGTATGTCTGTGTATATATACATGTATATATATGTACGGTATTGAATATGACCGAAGAGTGGTAGCTATGAAGGCATCTTCCTGTGCTCGCACTTTTGCTTCTTCATAAGTATCAAGATCGGCCTGTCGAACCGAAGCGCGTCGGCTTGGCAAGAAGAACCTTGTTCAAACCTTCTCCGAGCAACCAGGAGGGCACTTAGCAATGCTCAAGAAGGACAGCTCGGGTACCGGCCAAATTATGCCGATGTTTCTTTCGGAAAGTAGGGCTTGTGGTGTCTTAGGTCTTCGTGCGGCCACACTGACCAACCCTTTCTCCGAAAACTCGCACCTCGATTCGGCAGAGACGTAGCCGCTGTTGGAAATGAACTCGCCAGGATCTAGCACTTTCTCTGCGATGGAATCCAGCGCAGAATTGCTGTTGCACAAGACCAAAGCACGACCACCACGCTGGATGATTTGCGGAAGGAGCGCGTGGGCTATCAAGTGTGACTTGCCGGTGCCTGCGAACCGACCGGAATGAGCAGTTAGGAACAAGACGTGATTCGTGCGTCTGCCTGCTGCAGGACCTTAAGCTTACCTCTCCTGCCCATGCTCAAACCAAAAATCGAAAAGCATGCAACACGACTTGGCCTGGAGGCCCTTGCACCACAACTGGCCCTGCAGCCGTGAGCGCTTCAAGTGCCAGCGCGCGGCCTTGCTGGCGGTTGAACATCATCGGCACATGGGGGTTCGCCGCCACCCAGCAGTCCAAGCGCTGACACAGATCCGCATCGCTCTCGGAACCTCCAGATATCTCGCCAAAGAACAGCGCGCGGCACATCTCAGTGGGAGGTGCACTGCGCAAGTTCTGAAGCACGGCCAGGGGATCTGTAACCATGCGGTTGAAGCTCTGTAGCTTCCAGAAACAGGTGGAATCACCTTGCAGCATGCAACTTTGCAGCTTCTTTAGCACCCTCTCCGGAGCCCACAGCACCAGTCCGTCCTTCTGGTTCATCGTTTCGCAAAAGACCAGGCCGACATCCTTGACTCGTTTGGACTTCTGAACAGCTCTGCACTGTGCAAGGAGCATGAACCTGCTCCATTGCGACCTCGAATTTTCCAGGGGAAATCGCTGCGGCAGCGGCATCACCTTCATCGCTGCTATGCCTTTACCCCCATCTGCTGCTATGTTGCAGCAGCTCAATGAAGTTCCGAGATACTGCAAGTGTGCATGCTGCCCAGGACCTTGCCCAGGAGGTGCCTCCTTGCACATGTCAAGCATATAGCCCAGGTCCTCCCGGAGCATCTCAATGACAGCAGCGAGCTGCACATCGACGAAGTGCGCCACGCTGTCAAAGGATACTGGAGCTTCGGGGAGGTCGTAGGGGATGGAGCAGCTCATGATGTCAGTGTGTTGAATCATGTAATCCGTGAGCGTGACGCCGTCCAGTGGAAAATCTGCCAGGGGTTGGCACTGGCCTTGGCCTTGGCTCTGAGAAGGGGCCCTGCTCCGGGGCCGAAGCCGCCGCAGCCGCTTGCGGGCCCCACGGGCCCCACGGGCCTGGCTGGCCACAAGGGCCACAAGGGTTCCAGAAGCAGAAAGGCTGGCACTGGCCAAGCATGGGAAGCACGGGAGGCACGGGAGGCCCGGCTTCGGGCGAATTGGAGTCCAGTGCTTTTGCTGGTGCCTCCTCCGCCTCCACGAGTTGCTGTGCACGCCAAGGCGGCCGAGCACTCGATCATGCACTGGTCCGACGTTCATTGATTCATCAGGCCCAATGATGACACACTACGGTCTCTGCAAACATGGACTTTTTAAACAAGTGGATGACCACATCAGAACACATGTGAGAAAACGTGTCAACACGGCGACAGCGAGATCTGAAAGCAGATATCTGCAAACCGTTGACTGCGTCCTTGGCACCCTGTCGATTTGAACCTGCTGGAGACTGACGACAGCGGCATGGATGTCGATCTTGCAAAGCTCTCTTGTCCAGCAAAAACATTGAAACACACACTCTCTCTCACACACACACAAAAAACACACAAATAAGAAGCGCATTGCTACCCTTTAGCTTTCTCGAGCTGCGCTTGCACAAGGATTCCGTGCGACCCGCCTTCCTCCGAAGTGAACTGAAGCTGCGCTATGAAATTGCCGACAGCCGCTTTTTTGCCGAGAGGAGCTTTTTGCACATGAGGCCCGGAGTTTTCAGAAAAAAATAGCAGCGGAGAGAACGGATTTTTGGAGGTCGTTTCGACCGTAGAAAGATACCCTGGACGAGACAAAGCTGAAACATGAAGCCATGACGGTCTCGGCCAGGGACGCAGGGTGGTTCTGGGGCATCCTGGACTAGAACCAAACAGAGCATGCGCGCTGCATCGGTTTTGCCTTTGGGCTTTGCAGGCCCGCAGTTTGCTGCCTTCATGCGTCTTCAGGATAAGAACAAATCTTTAGGAGATCATCATGCGTCAGCCGCCGTATCATGCATCAGCTGTAGCCGCAGCTGCTCTTACGCAAATCCACCATGCCCAGGTCCCTCATGCTGTTGTCACACTTGAAAGCTACAGAATGTACTAGTCCACCACGCCTCACTGTAGGTGTGTGGCAAGGTTCAAGGTCCGCGCGCGCGCGCGCGCGATGCGATCCTTTCTCGAACTCTTCGGAATCATACGACTGCACGTTCCCCATCTCTGAGATGTCCTCCGAAGCCCATGTTGGAACATGAAGCCGGTGGCCAGCTGGCCCAGCCACAGCACTATCCGGAAAATCCTCAAGATACGTCCGCGATACCGAGACGTCTTCGGGACAGAGCGTTCGGAGGGTGGGCATGCAAAAGAGGGCTCCCAAGCTTGAGGGCCGAGAAGAGGAGCAACGGGAAATGAGGACACCCTCCCGAAAACACGCACTGCAGGCAGGCGCAACGAACGATCACGAAGCATGTGACCTAGAAGCTGCAATCTCCGTGACATGGACAACATGGCACAAAGCACGAAATAGGAAAACCTCGATCAGCCAACACGTGCAGCGTATCTACATAAAATCCTAGCTATATATATATAAAGATATATATATATATATATACAGATATATATATATATAAAGGTATATATAGATGTGTACATATATATATATATATACATATAGATATAGATATATATATATATAGATATATAGATATATATAGATATATAGATATGTAGATATATAGATGTATAGATATATAGACATATAGATATATAGATATATAGATATATAGATATATGATATATTATATATAGATATAAAAGATATATAGATATAAAAAGATATATTAGATATAAAAATATATAATAAAGATATATAGATATAAAAAGATATATAGATATAGAATATATATAGTATATATTAGATATCTTAGATATATAGATATATAGATATATAGAATATATAGATATATAGATATATAGATATATAGATATAGATATATAAATATATATATATATAGATATAGATATAGAGATATATAGATATATATATAGATATATAGATATATAGATAGATATAGATATATAGATATATAGATATATAGATATATAGATATATAGATATATATATATATATAGATAGATATAGATATATAGATATATAGATATATAGATATAGAATATATAGATATAATAGATATATATATATATATAGATATATAGATATATATATATATTATAGATATATAGATATATAGATATATAGATATATAGATATATAGATATATAGATATATAGATATATAGATATAAAAAGATATATAGATATAAAAAGATATATAGATATATAGATATATAGATATATAGATATATAGATATATAGATATATAGATATATAGATATATAGATATATAGATATATAGATATATAGATATATAGATATATAGATATATAGATATATACATATACACACATATACATATATACATATATACATATATGTGGCCGAGACCTTTAGGGTCTATTTGGCCATTTCCTTTATTCTTGAGTACACAATCGTCTCAATCCTCTATCTCTTACTAAGCAGGAAGAAAGCTTTTATTGCTGAGTAGGGCATGAGAAACCATGCTGTATGTCCGATAGCAAATGACAAATGGCCCTTAAAATTTTAATGCGCATAACAAGAGCTGCTTTATCTTTTAGTAAGACATGCACACATTTCTTTTTTCACTTCTTCATGAGACATGAGACAGGTCCTCCAGGTCTTCAGCAAAAGCGAGATAGTTTCTGTATCTCTGCCTTTTGTACACGGTGGCAGGAAGTCGCAATGTGGTTCTTAGGGTGAAAATATGACAGCCAAGCCTTCTGCTGTACGAGAAGTACTGAGCCAGCCTGAGCCTGAGAAGTCTAAGCCGTAGAGGTGGTCCCTAGACCGTAGAGCCGAAAGTTACTGTAGATGAGAAGGTAGGCACCCTGACTGGAAGCACCTCGAAGGGAGATGCGGCATACGTCTGCGCTTCGCTGCAGGTAGAGCATCGTGATGTGTGGCTGGTCGATAGTGGAGCCACATGCCACATCGTCTCAGCAGATCATCTGGGATTTCGTGTCTGCAAGTACCATGATCGCACGGTGACGCTCTATAGTGCCTCAGGAGACATCATAAACGTATCGAATGTCGTTGATCTGGAAGTTCGGCGGATAGACTTCTCGTCCTTTCCAGGCTTCTCATCATTCTTCGCTTTCGAAGTCTTCTTCAGGATGCTTGGTCCTGCAGTAATGTCTTTCCTGGGTTCCTTGTCAGGAAGAGAGTCGATCTCCATGTCCGATCCCTTGGATGGGCGTTTAGGAGCTTTCTGCTTCTTTCCGCTAATCGCCCACCAGGCCCGTTTTCGCCCCAACCAGGCGGACATTCTCTTTCCACCCTTGTAAATGCGAGACCCGGTGCGCGCAAGGAAGTTAGAAGTAGGTCCCTGGAAATTCCTGAAGAACACGCCGTTAGGAAACCGCATGACATGATCTGTACGAGAAAAACGCATGTCCTGAGTGGTGATAGGAGCCTGTGTTCCGAAAGTCTGGTTTGGAAACTGCATGATTCTGTTAGGAAATGCCATGTTTTTGTCAGACAGCAACATGATTTTTGGCAGCGGCATGTGTGCGCAGTTTGGAACGTGATGTTTTTGCTGACATGTCTTGTGAAGGGGTTGTGTGTGAGAGGCTTTTCGCTTCTAATCTTCGGCAGTGAAGGCTTGAGGTGTGCCCTTAAAGGAAGTGAGTGCCCCAAAGCAACCGGAGAGCCAAGCGTGTTTTGCGTTAGGAAGCCCAAAAGACCCCAAAAAGGCTTGAAGTGCGCATGTTTGTCCGCAGCCATTTTGCTTGTTTGCATGTCTTGGTTTTCCCTGAGGGAAGGTACTGAGCATGTCGGAACCTCAAATGGAGGTGGAGCAAGATTCCCACAACTCTCCAGCGGAGAGTACCGGGCAGGAGGTTGTGTTTTTGAATGCACCAGTAGAGCCTGCACCATCAGAGGCGGCGCCAGCCGAGACTGCGGATGCAGGGGCTTCAGCTGCCCCCTTCAATGTTTTCTCGAGGCCTTCGAGTCAAGTTGCAGTACCTTCGCCTACGGTGGCTGGCATCAGAGACAGGAGAAACAGAAGAGGAGGAAGCATGGGGAAAATGGAGGGCAAGCAAGCCTTCGCAGCCATCAGCCGAGCCGCCGCTGATAGTGAAATGGAGAAGCATGCTGAGGGGACCGCGCTACAGGTATTTTATGCAAGCGATACGACAACAGCGAGAAGATCTTATTGCATGTGGATACCCTGTGCCGGCAATTCCAGAGAACAACCTGGAACCTGCAGTTCCACTTATGTCTATCGGAGATGGGCTCGTTTATCCTTCCCGCCAGGGGACCATCTTTGCGTCATTGACAGATGCTTTGATGACCGACGGCTACCTCCTCGAGGTTGGACAGAAGCTCCTTGGGCGGATCCAACGTCCAGACCCAGATGTGGGACCGTGCCTGGGAACGGGCTGGTCCAAGAGGCTTCGCGATCACGATCCCGATCCTCTGGATGGAACGCCCTACATCAGCGCAGAGGTTGCGTGGGCGCTGTGGCTGCCCGAGTTTCCGGAAGCCCCGGAGCAAGGGGGCATCCTTCCGGTGAAGAGAAAGAGGGGTTTTTCCCAGCTCACCGACGAGTTGTTGGACGAGCATACTACAAGGTTCGAACTCGCGGGTCAAGGCCGCACTCTTCATCAACGCGGCGTGCGTGCAAGGGACGCGCGTGCAGCTATCGAAGGGTATACTCCCGATCCAAGTCACCTACGCCACCAGAGTGGCGGGGACGTAGCTGCGCTGGGTTACTGTGGAGGTCACTTCGGCTTCCCTACCTTTTTGGGGTTGATTTCTTGCCCTCTTTTTTGTCTTTCCAAATCCACACACCTTTCACCACCCGCATACTTCCACACTTGAACAGCCAGCAGAACCCAGCCGACATACACGCAAACACACAAAGCCACTTTGCACCCACAAAATGACACACACCCACACTCCATAACACACACGACTTTCTGACCCACAAAACGTCGAAACCACAACACACCACACCCATTTACAATGAAACCCAAGTGAACACAAAGACACCACTGCAAGGTGTCACTTCTGAGACTCCATGCCTTACCACCCTTGACCCACACTGACACTTTCCTTGCACACAAAGCCAAGACATGCACCCGCAAACCAACCCACTTTGCAACCACAAATGCTCACACACACACACACACATCCACAACACTCTTGCAC